TATATATATATATATATATATATATATATATATATATATATATATATATATTATTATCTATACTAATACTCCGCTTTCTCCTGTTCAGGTTTGACTTGGCTGGAAAGTACTGGTGAGCAGCAGCAGAAGTTAAGAAAATAAATAAATAAGTATAAATAAATAAATATAAATATATTTATATGCAGACGATGAAAGAAGAAAATAAGTAAAAATAAATATAAATAAATATATTTATATGCAAATGATAAAAGAAGAAAATAAAATAAATATAAATATAAATAAATATATTTATATGCAAACGAAAAAAAAGAAAATAAAATAGAAATATTTATCTGCGTTTAGGAGCAAGACTAGGGAGGGATCTGCCCTTCTACCGTCTCTCCTTCTTATAAAAAGAAAAAGAAAAAGAAAAAAAGAAAAAAAGAAAAAAGAATAGATGTCTACCTGCTGCTGCTGCTGCTGCTGCTGTTGCTGCTGCGAGTACTGCAGTAGCAGCAGCTGCTGCAGCTGTTGCGAGTATTGGAGCAGCAGTAGCTGCTGCTGCTGCTGTGAGTACTGCAGCAGCTGCTGCAGCATCCATAGCATCTGCTGCGGCTCCTCCAGCAGCTGTTACTGCAGCAGCTGCAGCAGCAACTTCTGCTGCAGCAGCTGCAGCAGCAACTTCTGCTGCAGCAGCTGCAGCAGCAACTTCTGCTGCAGCAGCTACAGCAGTTGCAGCAGCTACAGCAGCAATTTCTGCTGCTGTCGCATGCATGTGTTTGTATTTTGTTGTTTATTTGTTGTTGTGTTTCTGTTTTCCCCTCAATCATCTTCTAACCCCAAGTCGTCATTGCCTACAGTATCTTCTTCTTCATCTTCTGCTGCTGCTGCTGCTGCTGCTGCTGCTGTTGCATTTGCTTCTGTTGCTGCTGCAGCTGCTGCTTTTGCTGCTTTCGCTGCAGCAGCTAAAAACGGCACGATTTCTTTTTCTGCTGCAGCAAGACTCCTGCTGAGCAAAGTACCCATTTCTTCTTCTTCTTTCTCCTCTTCACTGGGGGCCCCCCCCTCTCTCTCCTTGGGGGCCCCCCTCTCTCTCTCCATGGGGGGGCCCCCCCCCTCTCTCTCCTGGGGGGCCCCCGGCACTACCCCCTCACAAACAATCTGCTTACACTCGCCGTATAAGAAGGTCGCGCTAGCAACCACTGGCAGCCCCTGCAGCTCTGCAGCAAAGGGTACAGGGGGCCCCCTTTTGGGGGCCCCCTCTGGGGGGGCCCCCTCCTGTAGGGGGGCCCCCTGAGGTGTAGGAGAGGGGCTTGTGGGTGTGCTCATAGAAACTGCTGCTGTTGCTGCTGCTGCTGCTGCTGCCGCTGAAATATTGAGTAAAGGAGAAATATAATGTAATTATAAAACACTTAAACTGTGAAAATAAAAGAAAAACAGAAAAAAAATGTAGATGGGGGTAGGCGACAGGGGAGGGGGGCCGGGGGCTTTGTTATGTATCGATACAAGCCAGCAGCAGCAGCAGCAGCAGCAGCAGCAGCAGCAGCAGGAGTGTTGCATGCTGTATGTGTAGTTGTTTGCTTGTATTGTATATATATAAAATAATAATATAATAATATTTATTATAATATAATAATATAATATAATATAATTTGTTTTTTTTTTATATTTTTATATAACAAAGAGCAGCAATTCAGCTGCGGTGCTCACTGTGCCCTTCATAAACGAGAAAGATAAAACAAAATAAATATTTCTACAAATAATATAATATAATATAAATTAAATAAATAAAATAAATAAAATAAATAAAATAAATTAAATAAAATAAATGGGGGCTGCAGCAAAACACGCAGAGACAAACAGATAAACTGCAGCAGCCCCCCCCTACTGCTTACTGCCTTTTCACCCAATGCAATTCGTTTATATATATATATATATATATATATATATATATATTATATATATATATAATATATATTATATATATAATATATATTATATATAATATATATAGAATATAGAGTAGTTGTTCAGTTGTATGCAAGAAACGAAGCAACTGTGCTGTCTATCTGTTTGTATTTGTTTTTATAAAGCGAGAGAACCTAAACCCTAAACCCTAAACTCTAAACCCTAAACCCTAAACCCTAAACCCTAAACAGAAGGAGACTATATATAAAAGCAAATATATATAACTATATATACCTATATATATAAAAGTAAAACAATAAAACAAAAACAACAAAAAATAAAAAAAAGAAAAAAAATAAACAAATATAATAAAAAGAAAAAAAAGATATACACAACAAATTTCACTCCAAAGTTTTGTTTACTCCCTCTGGCGCTGCAGCCACAGAAAGAAGCGGCAAAATAAAATAAATAAATTAAAATAAAATAAAATAAATAAAATAAATAAAATAAAATAAAATATATTCAGTAATAGAGGCAAAAAACAGATTCTCTAGAGGAGCGAACAGCAGCTGCAACAGCTTCCTCCGGCCTCCCGCTGCTGCTGCTGCTGCAGCAGCTGCAGCAGCAGCAGCTGCTGCTGCTGCTACTGCTGCTGCTGCTGCTTCTGCTGCCGCTGTTCCTGCAGCAGCTGCTCCTGCAGCTACTGCTCCTGAAGTGGGTGAAAGTTGAACTGATACTGCTGCATGAGCAGCAGCTGCTGCTGCTGCTGTGAATCCTGCTGCTGCTGCTGCTGCTGTTGCTGCTGCTGCTGCAGCTAATTTACGAAAAGATGAGAGTGGCTGCTGTTGGTAGAAGTGTAGAGAGAAGCAGCAGAGTTGCGGAGCCGCAGCAGCTTGCATGCGAGCTCATCACTCTTGATATCTGCTGCTGCAGTTAGGTGCTGCTGATGGACTTGCTGCAGCAGCAGCAGCCCTTCATCTCCCGGCATAAGAGAAGACAGCATCAGGAGGGGTCTATGGCAGCAGCAGGAGCAGTTTGCTGCTGCTGCTGCTGCTGCTGCTGTTGCTGCTGCAGTAGCACTGCAGCAGCCACAGGAGACAGCAGCTACCTGCTGCCGCTGCTGCTGCTGCTGCTGCTGCGCTGTCTCTGCAAGCATAATAACATTACTAAGGGCATTGAGTGCTGCTTCTGCTGCTCTTCCATCTGCTGCTGCAGCAGCAAGCTCAAGCAAAGCCCACAGATGCTGCAACGCTCCGTGCTGCAGCAGCGGCAGCAGCTGCTGCAGTGTTGCTGCTGTAGTGCATGCATTCGAGACAAGCCAGAGGGCCTCCTTTCTCAGTTCCTCACCGAGCTGCTGCTGCTGCTGCTGCAGCAGCAGCAGTGCATGCACCAGTATGTTGCACTGCAGCAGCTGCTGCAGCTGGCTGCTGCTCCCAACAGCTAGGTTGCTGAGGGCCCAGCACGCCTCTCGTGCTGCAGCAGGCCGCTCCAGCCGCAGCAGCAAGCTGCCTAGACACCGCAGCACAACGGGGGCCCCCCGAGCGCAGCAGGGTTTGTGTATATCACTATATACGAAACTCTTCTCTAGAATGCCGCTGCTGCTGCTGCTGCTGCTGTTGCTGCTGCTGCTGCTGCTGCTGCTGATGCTGCTGTTGTTTTTGCTCGTGCAACGCATGCAGCAGCAGCAGGAGAGAAGCTGCTGCGTCTGTCTAGCTGTGCCTGCAGCAATCTGCCCCACTATTCTTAGAGCTGGATGCAGAGGCAGCAGAATGTGCTGCTGCTGCTCCCAGGCTTGCTGCAGCTGCTGCAGCTGCGGGTTGCATGCGCGGCAGCAGATATTTCTCAGCCCCGTGGAGACATCTAACTCAAAGGCTCGAGCAGCAGCAGCAGCAGCAGCAGCAGGAGCAGCAGCAGCAAGAGTTCCTCCACTACCACTGCTGCTGCAGCTGCTGCTGCTGCTGCTGCTGCTGCTGCCCTCAGCAGCGCAGCAGCAGCAGCCGCTGCTGTGCGCCAGGGTGTGGAGAACGTGCTGCAGCAGCAGCGGCGTCTGCAGCAGCAGCGCAACCCCCNGCTGCTGTGCGCCAGGGTGTGGAGAACGTGCTGCAGCAGCAGCGGCGTCTGCAGCAGCAGCGCAACCCCCTCGGGCCTGCTGACGATACCATCAACAGCCCAGCAGGCATCAGCTAGTGTTTCCTGCTGCAGCAGCAGCTCTGCTTGCTGCTGCGGCTGCAGCACCTGCTGCAGTGAGGCTTGCTGCAGTGCCTGCTGCAGCAACGGCAGCAGCGGACACAGCAACGATGCCTGCACACACAACACACATGCAACAAACCCTAAACCCTAAACCCTAAACCCTAAGTGCTTGCGGCATATAGGGGACAGCAGCAGGCGCATGAAGACTGCGAGGGTTTAGGGTTTAGGGTTTAGGGTTTGAGTTCGATACAGTACAGCTGCAGGGAATAACAGAAAGCATTGGCCCCCATCTCTAGGGTTTAGGGTTTAGGGTTTAGGGTTTAGGGTTTAGAGGGGCTCACGTCGGGCCTGGGGGTCCCCCTGCATAGATTAGATATAAGCCAGACAGCCGTTCTCCATGTCTGCGGGCGCTTGGCGTGCTGCAGCAGCAGCAGCAGCTGCTGATGCAGTGAAGGGAGCAGCAGCAGCAGCTGCTGCAGCTGCTGCTGCTGTTGCTGCAGCAGATGCAGCTGCAGCTGCTGCTGCTGCTGTGCCTGGGGTGGTAGTGCTGCAGCTACAACTTGCTGTATCTGCTGAAGCAGAAGCTGCTGCAGCTGTGGTGTGATGCGATGCTGCTGCACGTTCACTTGCTGCTGCTGCTGCTGCTGCAGCAGCACCTCCTGCTGCTGCTGCTGCTGCTGCTGTGGGGAAAGGAGAGAGAATAGATGCTGCTGCAGCAGCTGCTGCGACAGCACAATGTCTCGGTATGCAGCAGAGTCCCCCGTTAGGTTTCCTAGGGCCCACAGCAGCTGCTCGAAGACTTCTTCTTCTGTGGGGGCCCCCGTACCCTCTCTGGGGGCCCCCCTGCTGCTGCTGCTGCTGCCTGCTGGCTGCAGTGCTGCTGCTGCTGCTACTGCTGCTGCTGCAGCAGCAGCAGGAGAAGGAGGAGATGGGGGAGGAGATGGAGAGCAGCAGCACAAAGACAAACGAGAAGCAGAGAAAGAGAAAATACAACAATATATAAACCCCAGGGTGCCGCTGCTGACGACAGCAGCAGCATCGATGCTGCTGCCGCTGCTGAGGTTTGTAAGACACCAAGCAGCCTCCAGCTGCAGCAGCAACACAGACGCATACAGATATATAGATGCAGCAGCAGAAACTCCTGCTGCTGCTGTTGCTGCTGTGTGCGCTGCTGCTGCTGCTGCTGCTGCTGCTGTTGCAGGAACAGCAGCAGCAGCAAGAAAGCCAGAAACGAGGGCAACTGCAGCAGCAGTAACAGCAGAAGCAGCAACAACTGCAGCAGCAGCAACAGCTGCAGCATCCCCAGAAACAGCAGCAGCACCAGCACTAATAGCAGCAACAACAGCAGCAGCAACAGCAGCAGCAACGGAAACAGCAGCAAAAGCAGCAGCAGCAACCGCACCAGCAACAGCACCAACAACACCACCAGCAGCAACAGCACCAGCAGCAACAGCAGCAGCAGCAACAGCAGCAGCAGCAGCAGCAGCAGCACGAACCATGAGTGCTTTGCTGCTGTGCGCGAGACAGCCAACGAGGAGGGGGAGGGCCCCAGCCCTCAAGGAAGCAGCAATAGGTATCTCTCCTGCAGCAGAAAGCAGCTGCCGCAGCCCCCTTACACCCTTCAGCAGCAGCGACACAGCCTCGTCTTGCTGCTGCTGCTGCTGCTGCTGTTGTTGTTGTTGTTGCTGCTGCTGCTGCTGCTGCAGCGCGCGGTCCAGCAGCGCTGGGAGAGGCTGCAGCAGCCGCACAACTTCTCTGTATATCTCGGGGTTCTCTGCTGCTGCTGCTGCTGCTGCTGCTGCATCTTCAGGTGCAGCAGCACAAGCCGCAGTAGAAGGGGGAGTGTCATCAGCAGCAGACGTTGCTGCTGC